CCGCCCCCCCCCCCCCCCCCCCCCCCCATGCACACACGTAAGGCGGGGGTACTAATTGCGGTAGGGGAGACCCCTCCTCCCAGATACCCACGTGTGGGGGAGGGGTGATTGCATTCGCTGAGCCCGCGCCGGGCGCGGGAGTTACGGCGCTACCGCCCCCCCCCCATTCTCACAGATTGGGGCGGGGGTGTTACCGCGTTAGCCGAGCCTGGTCTGCAGGACTTGGAAACTGCTTTAACTTGCGCCCTGCTTTGCTGCGCCCCCAACCTCTCCAGAGTGTCTGTGCCGTCCTCCCCGGGAGTGTCCCTAACGCGCATAGCGACGGCATCGGGGCTGCAAGTGGGGCTGAAACTTCTGCATTCACGGTCTTCGTGGAGATCCAAATCCCAGGACACTTGCGCTTTTCCTGCTGTGAGAGGTCCACGGTTTCACAGGCCGCCTGCAACTGATGTATGAGAGATGCATGCACGTGGCTCCTCTCGGTGAATGTATTGTGGGGAACCTGAATTGGCGTAAGAGCTTAAGGAATCCTGTTTCCTGGGGCGTTTATTTTACTATAACATGTGATTATAACAACCGTTTTGCTTTCTAAGTAGCCTAACAAAAAGAAACACTGGGGTACCAACGTTAGTAAATTGAGAAAAGGAAAAACAAGACACAATGAAATGTCATAAACGACATCTTTATCTGTACTGTAGCTTCTTAGGGTATGTGCAGTGAGCATGTAGTGGCAGGTGATCAGGAATCCTCATGAATTTGATCTACTTATTGGATCATTAGCTCCCCCAGCCTGGGCACTGATGGGGAGTGTGATGTGTCATGCCTTCTCCATGGCTATAAGAACAGCTGTACTGGGTCAGACCAAAGGTCCATCTAGCCCAGTAGCCTGTCTGCCGACAGTGGCCAGCACCAGGTGCCCCAGAGAGGGTGAACTGAAGACAATGATCAAGCGATTTGTCTCCTGCCATCCCTCTCCAGCCTCTGACAAACAGAGGCCAAGGACACCATTTTATCCCCTGGCTAATAGCCTTTTATGGACCTAACCTCCATGAAATTATCTAGCTTCTCTTTAAAATCTATTATAGTCTTAGCCTTCACAGCCTCCTCTGGCAAGGAGTTCCACAGGTTGACTACATGCTGTGTGAAGAACAACTTCCTTTTCTTAGTTTTAAACTAAATTAGTTATGACTAAACTACATCTTTCAAAAGAGAGATGTAGTTTAGACAGATGGAAAGTGTAAATGAAGCGGGGATTTAAATATCCCGCACTTCATTTGCATAATTGCATCACAGCATTTTTTTCAAAAAAGGTATTTAGAAAGTGAAACCGCTGTTTAGATGTGTTACTTTCGGAAGAGGGTAGGTTTTTTTCCAAAGATCCTGCACTCCTTTTTTGAGTACAGGATCTTCTGAAAAAGGGGTGGGTTTTTTTTTTTTTTTCAAAAGAACTGTCTTGATGGTGGCTTCATTTTCGAAATACCCTTTTAGAAAGAACACTATGATGTGATTATGCAAATGAAATGTGGGATATTGAAATCCCTGCTTCATTTACACTTTCAATCTGCTTAATTTACATCCCTTTTTCGAAAGAAGGATGTAGTTTAGACATGCCCTATGAGGCTGGACTTATGTCAGTGGCCTGTCTTTAATTTATCTAATTTACCTTTCAACTAAATCCCTACTAGATGTCATCTGGCCTATTACTGAACATGAGCCAAAGTCCCCATAATTTTTCTGTGAATGAAATGTAAGGCAAAGAATTCAGAACTACTAAAAATGTTTTGTGAGAAAATGACAGCATTGGTGAGAAGGGGGGTAAATTGGGGGAGGACTCCAGTGATGGAGGTTTGGTTGCATGTGGGAACTTTATAGGTGCATGCAGACCTCCTAAAGCTTGACTTGGAGTAAGTGATTAAGGAAAAGTTATTTACTAGTTCCATTAATATAAGAACTAGGGGCCACCAAAGGAAATTAATGGGGCAGCAGGTTTAAAACAAATAAAAGGGAGTTCTTCTTCACACTGCGCACAGTCAACCTGTGGAACTCCTTGCCTGAGGAGGTTGTGAAGGCTAGGACTATAACAGGGCTTAAAAGAGAACTAGATAAATTTATGGAGGTTAAATCCATTGATGGCTATTAGCCAGAATGGGTAAGGAATGGTATCCCTAACCTCTGTTTGTCAGAGGGTGGAGATGGATGGCAAGAGAGAGATGGCTTGATCATTACCTGTTCGGCTAACTCCCTCTGGGGCACCTGACATTGGCCACTGTCGGCAGTATGAGTCCTTTTGGGTGAGAGGAGCGTTGACAGCATGACATGGAACTTCATGAGTTCACCTCAGAAGCTCAAGTTGTGCAATTTGATACTGTCACCATGCCTAGTGTGGGTCTCCACTGAGAGTGCCAAACCCACAACAGACACACACACACAACTGGTGGTTTATTCTGTAATTAGATTTCACCAAAACAATTAACAGTTAGCTCCTGTATCACTACACAAGTTAACAAGAAGACAAAACACAACCCCTTAGGCATTTCAGCCCCTGGCTTACCACCCAGACAACTGGATATTTGTGATGAATGATTATTGAAACTAGAAATTACAAAAGCGACGAGGAGCCCTGTGGCACCTTATAGACTAACAGATTTATTGGAGCATAAGCTTTCGTGGGCAAATACCCACTTCATCAGTTTCTCCTCTCTTGGTTTTCACACCTCAACATCAGCTGCTACAAGTGGGCCTCATCCTCCCTGACTGAATTGACCTCCTAATCTCTAACCTTACTCTTGATTGGTACTCTTTTCTTACGCCTGTATATTTATACCTGCCTCTGGAATTTCCACTACATGCATCTGATGAAGTGGGTCTTTGCCCACGAAAGCTTATGCTCCAATAAATCTGTTAGTCTATAAGGTGCCCCAGGATTCCTTGTCACTTTTGCAGATTCAGACTAACATGGCTACCCCTCTGATACCAGAAATTACAAAGTTCTCAAAGAACCAGCTGCCTCTCCAGGTCAAAATATATTCTTTATGGATCTTACAAAATATCTCACAGCACCCAATTTCTCCAGTAAACCAGAAACTAAAGGGCTAAGTCTAGACTGGCATGATTTTCCGCAAATGCTTTTAACGGAAAAGTTTTCCGTTAAAAGCATTTGCGGAAAAGAGCGTCTAGATTGGCACGGACACTTTTGCGGAAAAGCGTCCGTGCCAATTTAGACGCGCTTTTTCGCAAAAAAGCCCCGATCGCCATTTTCGCGATCAGGACTTTTTTGCGCAAAACAAATCTGAGCTGTCTACACTTGCCCTTTTGCGCAAAAGCTTTGTGCAAAAGGACTTTTGCCCGAATGGGAGCAGCATAGTATTTCCGCAAGAAGCACTGATTTCTTACATGAGATTGTCAGTGTTCGTGCGGAAATTCAAGTGGCCAGTGTAGACAGCTGGCAAGTTTTTCTGCAAAAGCAGCTGCTTTTGTGGAAAAACTTGCCAGTCTAAACACAGTCAAGGTGTATTAATAGAAAAGAAGAGAGTTATTAAATGGCTGAAGGAATCGTATATAATTGATTTCCAAGTCTGTATGTACAGATAATAGCAGTTAGGGTGATTGTGCTAGAATGCAATAAGTCTCTCTGGACTGTCCAAAAAGATTGGGTCTTTTTTTCAATGCTTCTTTGTTAGAAATCATGATCCAAAGAAAAAGAGCAAAAAAGAAAACAAAGCAATGATATTAGTCTCCACTTTTATCTTTCAACCCATATACCTGGAAAGTTATTGGCAAAAGATAGTTTTAGATCACATGTCTTTACATGCCTCGCTGAGTAATGGGGCAGCCATTGTCTGGTGCTCTCTGAACCTCTAAAGGAGGTCTCTTGAATGGCCCATGGGGTGTCACCCCAAAACAAAACATACTTGTAATACAAATACATAACTAATATTCATAACCTCAGACACAGGATAATCATACTCAACAGATTATAACTTTTCCATTGATTCCTTATGACAGTGTTTCCCAATTTGTGCTCTGCGGAACCCTGGGGTTCCGCGGAGCACAACGAGGGGTTCCGCGAGGAGCCGGCGCTCCCCCGCCCCCTCTGAAAAAGAGAGAGAGCCGGCTAGCCAGCATGGAGCTGGTCCCGACCCCGCGCGCGCGTCCTCCCAGCACGGCCCCAGAGCGTCTCTCCCCCGGACCTGTCCCTGCTGTGCGCGACCTTCCCTGAAGGTGAGCGCCGGCCCCAAGATCGTGAGGAAACTCTTAGGCTATGTCTACACTGGTTGG